ATTGAACAGCACCTTGAAGACCACCAGAATTAGTTAAAAAGAGAAACCAGTATAGTAACATTGCACTATTTGTGTCCTGGGCGATTTCACTGCATCTCATCTGGTGCCTACTGCAGACAAATACTATGTTTATATATGATTTGGAAATGAATTAGAAAATAAACACCTGTAAATGGAGGGGGGAGGCGTCACTAAGGCAACACCAAGGTGATGAACAATTCTTTTTTTGACACAGAATTGTTTTCCAGAATTATTAACACGAGGTTTTGATGTCCTTCCTAATTTGGTGCACTGGACCCTCTCTGTGAAACAGTCAGCAAGCCATGAGAGCAGTTGTTTTAGAGTACCCAGCGATTCAAGTTTGAAAAGAAGGGATGATCGGGAAACAGGATCAAACGCAGACGAATAGTCAAGAAAACATAACGAACAGACTTGGCTGAATTGTTCAATGACTTGCTGACAAAATGCATTAGAGTGGACACGGCATCCACAATGCAGATCTGCTTGGTTTATATGCAAACTGAAGCGGGTCGTGAGGAATTGTGGTGTCTGACTGCCACCGACTCAGGATGGCTTTTCAGTTAACTTTAGAGCCGCTTCAGCGCGGTAGGACGAAATCGTTTTGCAAGAGCAGTTGAGGACGTGGATTTGGGGATCGGAATAATGGTCACCGGAGGCCAAGAATGGGGAATCGACCAGGAAGATAGGGACTCATTGACGACAGATGTCATCATATTGGTTAGGGAAGCTGCGCTAAATTTCAGAAGTGCGAGAAGGAAGACCATCAGGGCCTGCAGCTGAAGATGCTTTGCAGGATCGAAGAAGCTTAAATCTTAACTCATTGGAAAAGGGGACTGAACTGGATTCATTGCACAGGGATGAGGGAATCTGGCTCTCATTTGACGGGTGCATGAAATCGGCGTTATGGCTATTGATATCGGTACCCAAGTCGAGTTGTAATGTCACCTATTGTTGAAAATGATTCAGACTACTCTATACTTGCAATGTTTGTTCATCGGTGCGGAATCTGCAACATAAATAGTTTTATTCGCGTGGGATCTCTAGAAATGAATACTTCCACAGAGCCGTTTTTCAGGATAGATTGACGTGAACTTTCACAATTAGCCCCACATAACAACTGGTGCGTTTGATCAATTTTTGTTGACACAACTTGGCTACCTTCACGCCTCAAAATCGAGCTGTTCTCGAATGTGGTTGAAAGTGAAAGAAATTGATTGATGAATAGTGTGTGAAAATGTATCATCTGTGTGAACCCAATAAGTCTTTTATTTGTACCTATGCTACATTTGATCACCTCATCGCCAATTGACTGAATGCCAACACAACTTTTGTCTTGTGACGTGAGCACAGAATTTATGCACTGCGTATGGAGATCGGCGGGAAAGCTCTGAAACGATTGTAATGGACGTTCGACCGCACCTCTCGTTGTCAGACACACGCACACACAATGGGATAACACGACTGTCGCACCCGAACGTCGATTGTAGCACAAATATATGGCAAAAACAAGGTACAAGATGTATATGGGAAATATGGCACACAAGGTTCATACTAATTATGGGTTCCCTTGCGTAGACCTAACACTCTTCAACTCATTCGTCCTCCGTGCTTACCGTGTTCAACCATTTTGTACCTGAAAGGGATAGGAAAGGTAGGAACCGCTAGTAGTACTGTTGACATTTCTAACCCGTTCGGTTTCAATGTCGTTACAGTGTGCAGTCCCGGAACTCAATCAGCAGCTACAGCAGTTCGGTCAGTGCTGCTCTACGGTGCAGCGACTTGACCATTACGGGAAGAGGATGAAAATAGGTTGTCGGTGTTCGAACACCGTTGTTTACGTCGCATTGCACGAGTCTGGTGGGGTAACCGGACGAACAATCCAGAGGTGAGGCGTAGAATTTTAGGTAATCGCGGTTGTCCACTGGAGCAAGTGGTCGACCTTCATAGATTACTTTGTTTGAGACATGTGCTACGCATATCACCAGATAGGTTGCCACGGCGAACGATGTTTGCCAAGACAGGTAGCGGTTGGAAAAAGGTGAAGGGTGGTCAAACTAAAACCTAACACGGGGGTATGAAAACCGTAACCAGGAGACTAGGTCACATAGGTCCCGTTAAGCTCGAGATCATAATCTCTAATGACTAGAGACACTGAGTGATATGGCTGGGTGTCGCAAACAGTGGTGCTCATGCATCTACTCATTATTCTTGTAACACCACTCGATATATATAAATCCGCTATTTTCTGCTTGAATTTCCTTTCACCATTCCAATCTTCATCCTACTCTGTTATCCAAACGGCGCACCAAAAGACAGCAACCCAAACCGCCCCACGAAAGTGCATGGTCAATGGTTGTATGGGCTGAACTGAACTGAAATCAATCAACGTGACCCTTTTTTAAGCACAGTTATCACTTCCCCTGTATATAAACGTATATTGAATTCTCCCATGCGTGCTGTTTTTTCCGTTTCCAGCTTACGCACGCTATGTCGTGCTCTCATTGAAGCTGGTCGTGGTTATCACGGGAGCACAGTTCGATCGTTATACGAGGTAAACAGAGCAAGTTAAGGATGGACCACACTTTTACAGTTTTATATTACATTGCTGTCCACACTTTTGTGCACGTGCATGTATTCTATGCCTATCGCTTGTGGATCATATTCCGTGGGTCCGTCTGATTTCAATGAAATGTGCAAAGCTTTTGAGAGACAACTAGTGGTTTGTAATTAATGTTTTGTTGTTTGTCTTTGATACCATTGCAAAGGAAGCATTACTATTGTGAGAATATAGATATCTGGAGCAATCATTTTCATAGATAGGATTGTCGTCTCTTATTCCCATGGTTTGAATTATCAAAAAGCCGAGCATAAGGCTACCCCGTAGCGCAACTCATTCCCTTGATTCTAGAATCTAGTGTTGCAGTACGCCGAACGGTCCACCTTCTTCCCACTCCGGTTACCAGTTCCAAACACAGTGCACTCGTCCTGAGGGTAGCAATTTGATCTGTTACATGCATTGAGAATGGAACTCAGAATTGTCGTGCAGAAGAGTTGCATAGCAAAATTCTTCTGGTTGTTCTTAGACACGACTGAATCTGTTCGTCGGTATACGTATGTCATGACCACCCTGTTTTCTCAGGACAAGTAACACATTTGAACCATCCGCTCACTCTCTTCACTCTGTCCAGGGTTTGATATTCAGTTTCGGCTCACAAATCGGCCGCGTATCTCGTCCGATTCTAGACACACTGATTCGTCGCTACTTGGCGTTGACCATAGATCGACCGAGTGGACAATCTCGAGCCTTGGATCAGCTTCTAGCTATCCCACTTCCTATGCCATCGGTAGCCGTCTCTTCTGATCCCAAATCCAGCTCACCCGGCTATGTGAATGTCGAGGGTTATTGGATCCCTCGAGGCCCGAATGAGCCACGTTCACCCGAACCGATCACTTTATGCGATGGATCGTACATTCTTACCCCAACGGTTCGGAGCAACCTGAAGGACTTGGCTCGAGTTGTTGCTGCTGGGTAAGTTCAGTTTACGTTGCATAATTATTCTGTGGTGAGAGGAAGAACATTCCCGTGATACTGAATAGTCTTCCCTTTTGTCTCTCTGCGTTCCCACAAATTAAACTGGAAACGTTCTTTTTTTTTCTTACGGTGCTCAATAATTGTACGCGTTTACAAAGTGTTGTATAGTGATATATATATATATATAATGCTTAGTTGTGTGCTTTTTGAATAACTTTAACTGATCTTCCATGTGATATCCCATGTTAATTGTGAAAAATTTACAACGGATTCAGAGCACGTTGATTTACGCTCAAATAACTGTCGAAATGCTTCCCAAGAAAATCCCTCGTCGATAACCTTAGCTTATTGCCATACAGACTGCAACCCGAAAGAAACAGACCGGGTTGGGGTGGCGTTACCTTATCTCCTTCGAACTGGGCCACCGTATAGTAAAATGTTACCAAAACAGTACCCGGACATCGCTTCGTACCCTATTCTCGCGAATCACTCTGTAGATATTTCTTGCGAAACTACTTGATGATTACAATCGGTACGGGAACTGGTTTCAAGCCGCATGGTTATTGGTTATTGATGTACGGTATCTTTGACACCAGCTCATCCTCCACTAGTAACTATTGTTGTCAGAGGATAAACAACAAAGGGGTGGTATCCGGTGCGGAGGTTGAATAACAATCTACGATTCGGTGCTCTGTTCACCTAAGGCTTGAGGCAATCAAATACGTAGTGTCAGTACAAACATTCTCCCTCCAATTTTGCTGTAAATGTTTTTCATGGCCTTTCTTACATGGTAACATCCCTTATCACTCCTTTGTATCGAATTCTGTCTCCATTCACAAACAGTGGTAGTTTGCCGATACTGATTCAAGGGGAAACGTCAGTCGGAAAGACCTCTCTCATCACCTATTTAGCCACTCGTGTCGGCCAAGTCTGTTATCGCATAAACAATCACGAGCACACTGATCAGCAGACGTATTTGGGCACGTACACCGTAGCTTCGGCAACCGCACAGACCAAAATCGCCAATTCTGAATCCGAGCTATCCTGCCCGCCGCCGTTGGTGTTCCAAGAGGGTCCCCTCGTTCAGGCCATGCGTGCTGGGCACTGGATCATTCTGGACGAACTGAATTTGGCTCCGACAGAGATATTGGAAGCACTGAACCGGGTATGCTGATTTCTCCATTAGTCCGGATTCCGGGGCAGTGTGGCGAAATTCATCGTGTTCTGTTGTTTTATTTCTGTCCTTGCAAGTTAATGTACAAGTTCTTTTTTTGGTCAGTACTTCGCCCTGTGGGGTTTCTACTATTCTTAGATACATTTATCAGCCATATGCCATGACTGCTGAGCTAAAGCATTAGGCTTGCACCTGTCATGGATGATGATTATTTCGTTTTATGGCCTTGTTCTAATTTTTGTATTTTATCATACCAAACCTGTTTTTAATCGTTTGAAGTAAGTGCCATTTATCACAATGCTAAAAATGCTACCATCGTGTGAATGAACCTCCTCTTGGCTTGTGTCCCTTATGCATAGAATGAAGTTTCAGATATACATGGAGTTTGAGTTGCT